CAGGACGGTCTCGATCTCTTGACCTCGTGATCCACCCGCCTCGGCCTCCCAAAGTGCTGGGATTATAGGCGTGAGCCACCGCGCCCGGCCAATGATTTGTTTTTTTTAAGACTGTACCAGAATTGAAGAAGCTAGCATTTTGTTTCACGCATTTGTGTCTATATTTATGATTCATATTGGTCCATGATTTTTTTTGTGTGCTAGGTTTGTCAAATTCTGTTACTGAGATTGTGCTGGTCTTGTCAAACAAAGTGGGAGGCTTCCTATATATTTCTGTGCTTTGGGAAAGACACAATTCAATAAATCTTGTCACTCTATGATAAGCACTTTAAAGGCCAAATTCACAAACTGATTGTGGGGTTCTTGCTTCAAATGTCAAGGAGAGCAAATGGTGAAAGAGGGGCTTTTAAAATTAGCATCTTATAACAAAATTAGGTAAACAGTCAAATAGCTGGATGTGGTGGCTCTCACTTGTAATCCCAGCACTTTGGGAGACTTAAGCAGGAGAATAGCAATTCAGGTCAGTAGTTCGAGACTAGCCTGGCCAACATTGTGAAACCCTGTCTACTCAAAATATAAAAATTAGCCAGGCGTGGTTGTAGGCACTTGTCATCCCAGCCACTCGGGAGGCTGAGACAGGAGAATTGCTTGAATCCAGGAGGCGGAAGTTGCATTGAGCCAAGATTGTGCCAATGTACTCCTGAGTGACACAGTAAAACTCTATCTCAAAAAAAAAAAAAAACCCCATAAAATATCTATTAGATTTAAAAATCTTTTTGAGATAATTCAAACTTAGAGAACTTGAACAAATAGCACAAGGAACTTCTATGTACCCTTTACCTGGATTTCCTGATTATTATCATTTACTACATTTGTTCTGTTATGTATACATTTAAAGATAGACAATGAAAAAATATATATATTATGTCATCCTCTATATATACATTTATATACTTTTATACATATGGGTAGATAGTGCATGACAAATTAATATATCTATAAATGTATAGATAAGTATCAGTGTAGATACAGATATATAGATTTTTTCGGAACTCTGCAAGTATGTTACAGATGATTAGATATTCTTAAAGTATATAGCTTTTCAAATATCAAATGTCCTGAAAATCCTTCTTTTCCTGAAACACTGAATCTTTATATTCTATCTTTATCTTCCTATATATTCTATATATATTTATGTGTCTATCAGT